GGAGGGCCGCGCCTCTCAGCACGTCGAGACATTGGCCCGGCGGGTGTCTGTGGCTGTTGCCCGCCAGCCCTGCCTCCCCGGGGCTCTGGTGAGTGGCCGCGGCCGTCTCCATCCAGCCCGGGCTTTCCGCTTCCCGACTCCCTTCTCCCGACTCCGTCTAGGCTCCCCCTTTACCGCCGGCGCCCCCTCAGCTCTGTCCTCGCGGCCCTTCGGCTTTTCCAGTCCCTCTGTCCGTCCGTCCGTCCGTCCCCCGCCTGCGTAGTTTCCTTGAGTCTTCTCCTTTCCCAGCCCCTGGCTACCCACCCCGACTTTTCTTTCTTCTCTGAGTGCAGCCGGGGCGGGGAGCCAGACTCCTCTCCTTACCGCGCTGCCAGCATTGTTTGCTCGCTGCCACCAGCCTCGGTCAGCTTTTACCTCCTTTTTACTGCCTCTGGGGTCTAAGAACTAACTCAGACAGAGCAGTCGTTGAAGGTAGAGAAATCAAAAGCCCACCCTGAGCCATGGTACCTTTGAGTGGGACCCTTTAGGGCACTCACCTTCACATAATTTTAAAATCACAGACGTTGTCGTGAAGACTCGGTGGAAAAGGTACAAAGGCAGAGGAAAGGAAAAAAGTCGATAAAAAGAGGAAAATCTGTGTCAGAAAGTGTGCTCGTGGCCAGTAGACCAGGTTCCCAGTTGTGCTCTGAAATGACTGGGAGACAGAACGGTAAACTCATTCTTTCTAAAATGCGAAGAGGAAGGCAGTGAAATAACTTCAGTGTCTTCGCTCCCTGACAGCTCGCCTTAGCTGTGAATTAGCCAGCTAGTGCGTTTGGTTCCCCTAAACATCAAAACAGTCACAGCCGCAGGAACAGGCCCCCTCCCCACCGTAAACATTACAAATCAGCTTCCTCTTGGGAGGACAACTCTGTCCTCCATCTCTGCAACCAGAACCATCCTGTGTTCCATCCTTCTCTCCTTTTACATAAAGAAACGGACATCAAAAAGGCGTGCGTTCCTAGTTAAATTATTTTAAGGTGTTAAGTGCACCACAATAAGGTAGGGGAAGAATATTAAAACAAGTATAGATCATGGTGAATGCTTCCAATGCATTACAATTCAAAAGCGATTAAATATACCACTCAAGGAATCCTTTTAGCCTCAAGATTGAATTGCACGATGAAAGGTAATGGATTGTCAAAGTACTGGTGAGAGTTAGGACATTTATAGAGATAACAGAGTATGTACTACTGTAAAGTCAATCACTTGCGGGCCTGTAATTGCTGAACTCAAAAGGCAGAGACAGGAGGATCTCCATGAATCTGAGGCCAGTCTGAACTGTGTAAGTGAGATCCTGTCTCAAAAAACATCAATCAAGTCATCCTGTCATAACCATCTAGATTGAATAAAACAGTGGTTTTCATTTAACTGTATTTTGAGTTTGGTATCCCTATTGATTTAGGAGAATCACATCTTTCTGTGAGTTTTTAAAAACTTGTAAAGAATTTCTCACCTAATTCTGCAGAGTTGAAGGAGGATGAAACAAACTTACAGGACCAGGATCCCAGTGACTTGTGGATTAGGGCCGGAAGGCTTGAATATGCGAAAAGCACTATTTGTATAAAAAGTACTTGGTTGGCTCAGTAAACCTATGAATTACTTTTCGGCAATATTAATTGTATCTTTTGATTAAAATTATTAGAATTAGGTGAAATTTTTGAGTGGAGGAAGAGAAGGAGGGTTTGAAGAAAGGTTGAAGGGAAAGACAGAGCCGAGTATGGTGGTACAGTCCAGTAATTCCAGGTATTTGAGAGGTCAAGGCAACAGGATGGCAAGTTTGAGGCCACTCTCGGCAATTTAGGAAAACCCTATCTCAAAATAAAAAAAGTAAAAAAAAAGAAAAAAAATGAAGACAAGAAGGAGGAATGGATGGGACTGTAGCAGGGAGGTAGAGCCCTTGCCTACCATGTACAAGGCTCTAAATTTTATCCCCGGTAAAGATTGTATTGTCCTTATATATGAGTATCTTTGAGAACACTTAGGTCTTGGTTACTATTTTCATTGCTGGGACAAAATACCCAACACCTATGAGTTAAGGGAGGAAAGGTTAATTTAGCTCATAACTTGTAGAGGTTTCAATCCATAATTGGCTGCCTCTAAGGGAAGGTGGTCTGGCAGACAGACATCACAGAGGAGAAAGTTTATAGAGGGCAGAAGGTAGCAAAGCAAGCAAGGGGCCTTAGCAGCTTTTTTCTGCCCCTTTTATACTCTGTCTAGGCTATTGGGTTTAGGGCGATGCCAGACCAATTAGTGGACTGATCTAGTAATCACACACTCTAGATCCAGCTACCTCTGAAAAAGGCCCACAAATGACCACATGAAGCTATGGGGGGGGGCATAGAGACAAACTGTAACACTTACTGTCTTTTTTTTTTTGGTATTGGAGATCTAATCCACTTCTTTCACACTGACCTATCTGCCTAGCTCTTTTTATTTTTTATTTTGGGACAGGGTTTCTTTTCACTAAGTCACTAAATTGCGCAAGCTGGGCTTGAATTTGTGATATTTCACCCTCAGCTAGGGATTACACGAATGTATTACCACACCCACTTCCTTTTTAATTTTTTTAAAATTTTAAGAAATGACAATTTAAGTCAAAACTTTTTCTTAGTTTTTATGTACACATCACTGTAAATGTACATCTTTGTTCATTAGCTTTGTTGACCAAAATCACTAAATCACTAACTTGTTCAATTTATTCTTTTTTTTTAAGTTTATATTTGCAAAAAGTCTTTTTTTTTTTTTTTATTTACTCTTTTTGGTTGCTCATTTATTTATTTATTTATGTGGTGCCAGGGATTGAACTCAGGACCTTGTGCTTGGGAAGCAAGTGGTGGAATCACTGAGCTAAATCCCTGGCCCCTGGTTGCTCATTTATATGGACAGCATTGTCTTAAATGCTCTCAAATCGTATTTTTATATTGAAGTTATTTCAGTTGTTAAAATGTAACTACATATATGTAAAGAGTCCCCAAGAATTTTCTGACAGAGAAGTACACAGCCCTTACTTGTTTTTTACTTCGTTTTTAGTTCTCATTTTAAACTTTGTTCATTAAACACAGAGTGCATGTGGTTTTCATTGTGGGTGGAGGGGTTCTCATTGTGAGTGGAGACTGACAAATAAGGAACCACACCCATGCTTCATAAACCAGAGTTTTTTTTTGGTTTTTTTTTTTTTTACAAATTCCTCCAGTAATATCCAAAACCCATTTCAGTTTGCTTTGGTATTAGTAAAAACCATAAAAAACAACATTTTATACTAAGGTAGCCCTGAGTACAATGTCTTGAATTTTTCATTACAGAACCATTTTTGCACAAAATAAATAAAAATGTTAAACTCTGAGGTAGAACCTTGTTTTTGAATCCGCCGTAAAGAGATTACTCTGTATGTTAATTTTTTGCCCAAGTATTTTTTTAAAAACTGCTAATGTTAAGCCTTTTTCATAGTAATAACAAGTGTTTTCATATTCCATACAAGTCTTGTTTAATCCACAGAACAATCTGAAAGACTACTAAGTATTAAGGGAGGAATCTTTAAGAAAACTTTTCGTAGAATGCACTTTCTTTGTAAATGGCTCTTGGACCCTCTTGATTTTTACTCAGCTTTATATTGGGATGAAAAGATAATCAAATCATAGGGGAAGAAGGTATGATAAAGATAAAATATTGAGCACTATTCCCAGTGGTGGAGCAGGTAAGTTTTAGGGAACAGTATAGCCAAGTGTGATAATATATGGAGAAAAATGCGGTTTTAAATTTAGGAAAAAAAGTTATATAAATTTCTAACCTGTTTGTGTCTCTCTTTCTAGTATTAGGGATTGTCAGGGTTACATCTGAGCCCTTTTTTTATTTTATATTTTGAAATATATGACTTTGCTTAGTTGCCCGGGCTGGACTCAGATTTGTGATCCTCTTTTGCCATGCCTGCCTGGCCAAGTACAAGGTCCTGAGTTTGATCCTCTGTTCCGCAAAAAGAAAAAAAAGAAAAAAAAAAAGTGTGATCCTCCTGCCTTATCCTCCCAGGATGTTGATATTATAGGCATGTTCCACCATGCCCAGCTGGTATTGTTTTTTTCTTATGTAAAATGAGGAAGTTAGGATCTCTTGTTTTTAAGGTGTCTTCCATCACTGCCATTGTGATTGTATTTTTTCCTTTGTGATATTGTCTCCTTTATAGGTCTTTATTGTAACTTGTAAATATAATTAAACAACTAGCATACATTTATCAAATACTTTAAGCTGTCAGAGCATGTATAGGCCTGTGCATTTTAATCATAGATTAGCTTTTTAAACTATAGAAATAGAAAACCTAAAAGTTATACTCCAGTAACAGTACATACTTATTGAAGAAAATATAGGAAAACATGGTAAAGCCCAAGCCAGAATAAAATTACCTATTCTATTCTCACTACCTAGAATTAAACCACTAACATTTTATGTATCTCTGACAGTTCTATATCTACATATGATGTGCACATATAATAAAAACATAAAAGTGAGGTCATGATATACATTTTGTTTTATACAATCTGTTCTTTTTGTCTTGATTAGAAGGATTTTCTTTGACATTAAATAATTAAATATATTTTAACTGTTTACTTATTTTCATGGTTGGTCTGTGACCCAGAAACCCCACCCATACTTTTGTTGAATTTTGTTTTTGTATATACACGTTATTTCTGATTTTCTTTTGTCATTACAGTGCTATATTGAACACCTTGTGTATGAATCATTATGGGTCTACCCTGATTATTTTCAAGGTAGTTTCCTACATGGCAAAGAATGTTACTATGTGTATATAGTCTTTTTAATTTATGCACGTGGTATTGTAATCTTGTTCTCTTCCTTTCAAAAAATACATTATAGTTGTTGTAAAGGTACAAGTAGAGTTGCTTCTGATTGTTGTTTTTTCCTCTTTTTAAAATTTTATTATATTTTATTGTACTGGGTATTGAACCTAGGACCTGGTGTGTGCTAGCCAAGCACTCTGCCACTGAGCTATTTCCTTAGCCCTTTGTCTTTTCTTTTCTTCCTTCCTTTTTTTTTTGTACTTGGGATCAAATTTTGGACTTTGCACTTGAGAGGCAGGCTAAATCCCTGAGATCTAAATCCCTGGCCCTTGTCTTTTCTTTTTTGGGATAATGTCTCTTTAAGTTGCCAGGCTGCCCTGAAATTTGCAATCTTCCTGCCTCAGCCTTCTGAGTAGCTAGTATTACAGATGAGTACTGCCACATCCAGATACATGGTATTTCTGGCATGCATCCGCTTCATTTTATTTATTATTAAATTGGTTCCAACTTCTCCTAACAGAAAAAATGGCACAATGAACATCCTTTATTTAATGGAGCAGTCAAGGCCGTGGATTTGGCTCAGTGGTTTTGCTCCCTGCCTTGCAAGTGCAAGGGCCCGAGTTTGAGCTCTGATACCAAAACCAACCAGTTAAATAAAAGGCCTTGGGATAGAGGCTCAGGTACTTAATGAACAGTCTGTGTATGTTCCCTTAAAAATTTGTGTGATAATTTCTCTAGTCTTTCTATATAAGAGTGGAGTTTCTGGGACCTTACTATGTGCTTATTTTCACTAAGTATCATATTATGTGTATTATGTGTATGTCTTCCAGCAAATTTGTACCAGTTTATGTTCCTTCCAGTGGGGCTGCAGAGTGCATAATTGGTTTATGCTAACTTGAAGACTTTTACTCCTTCTCTCTTTGATTCTAGCAGCCATGGCAATGACAGGCTCAACACCTTGCTCATCCATGAGTAATCATACCAAGGAAAGGGTGACAATGACCAAAGTGACACTGGAGAATTTTTATAGCAATCTCATCGCTCAACATGAAGAACGTGAAATGAGGTAAAGAATTGTTTGAAAAATTACATAATAATTGTGGCATTTGTGTCCAGTATTGTAAAAGACACTCATGGTATTGTTGACAGGAGGCCAGAGTAGTACTGGCCATGTTACAGCCTTCCCCACTATCATGCTATGACAGTGCGACATGTTTCCAAAGGCCTTGCCCCTTGCTGGCAGATCTGGGTTTAGAATCCTACCTGTGTCATTCAGTGCTGTATGAGGCTGGCCCTAGTTCCTTAGCGTTTCTGTGTGTTACTTCCCACATCATGTTGATGGAGACACTACTACTTGTCTTGCAGGATTTCTGTGGAGTTAGATATAGCAAGTTAATACTCACCATAATAATCACTTACCTGTTAGTCAATTTTTTATTGCTATAACAATACCTGCGAAAAACAATTTAAAAGAGGAAAGATGGATTTTGGCTCACATGGTTTAAATCCATGGATGGCTCTGTCACTTTGGGCCTGAGGTGAGGTAGAGCATCATGTCATTGTGACTGTGTGACAGAGGCCGCTCCTCACCTCATGGCAGCCAGGAAGTGGAGAGAGCCAGAAGGGGCCGGGACAAGATACAGTGCCCAGGGTCATACCTGCATGACTCCCTTTTACTAGCTCCCATCTTCCAAGTTTCTGTTACCCCCCAGTAATGTTGTCAAATTGACAGCCGTGCATGGATTAAGTTATCGATGAAGTTAAAGCCCTCATGATCCCAAACTTCACCTCCAAACACTGATGCGTCCACTCAGCCTTCAACATGTGACCTTTTGGGGAACATTCTAGATTCAAACCCTAGCACGTAGTTAATAGTAATAGTAGCAACTGTTTTTACCGATCTGGTGTATATACTCTGTGTAGTACCTCATAGTTAAACATGCTTTCTACAACATTTTATAATGAAAGTATTCAGAAGTACAGAAAGGTTGAAGAAATTGTACAGGGAATACGTTTATGCATATTATGCAGATTCTTTTTTTTCTTGTATCCGGGACTGAACTCAGGACCTTGGCACTTGGCAAGGCAGGCGCAGTGCCACTGAGCTAAATCCCTGGCCCAATGCAGATTCTGTAATAACCGTGTATCTATCATTCTACCCCTCTGTTGTTCATTAATGCATCTTAAGCTTTTGCCATCCTTCAAAGTATATTGCAGACATCAGTATGCTTTACTTCTGAGTGTTTCTGCTTGAATAACATTTGGTATAGTTCCATATTTATATGTATATTTTGGGGTATAAAATTTACCTACCATGAAATATAAAAGTTGAAAGGTACTCTTTGACAAAGGTTTACACCTGTATAACTTAAAACCCCATCAAGATGTAAAACATTACCATTCTCCCAAAAGTTTTCGTGCCTCTTGCTCCTCAACCTTAGGCAGCCACTTCGTGATTTTTGCTTCCACCATAGATTAGTCATGTCTGTTCCATGCAAATGGAACATGTAAACTTCATATACTAAGTACTCATTTGAGTAAGGTATCTTTCAGCATGTTTTTGAGGTTCATTTGTTTCACTCTCTATGTTCCTTTTTACTGCTGAGTACCTTATGTTTTCTGATTTACTTCATTGTATTTAAATATTCTCCTGTTGATAAACATCTGGGCTCTTTCCAATTTTGAGCTGTTTTGAATAAGCTTCCATAAACATTTCTCTACAGTTTTTTTTTTGTGTGTGTGAATATTTGTTTCAGTTCTCAAATACCTACAAGTAGAATTGCTAGATCATAAACATAAATAGGTATATATTGGTTTTTTGTTTTTTGGTTTTTTTTGGTACTGGTACTGGGGATTGAACTCAGGACCTTGTGCTTGCAAGGCAGGTGGCAGAACCACTAAGCTAAATCCCTGGCCTGATGTTAAACATTTTTGTGTGCATTTTGGCCATTGTATATTTTCTTCTTTGATGTATTTGTTAATTTTTTTTTTCAATACTAGGATTGAACTACCCAGGGCCTTAGGCATGCTAGGCAAGCATTCTTTCACTGAGTCACATCCCTGGCCCTTGGCTTTTGGGGGGTTTTGTTTTGAGACAGGGTCTCACTGTGTAGTTTAGTCTAGCCTTGAACTCATTATGTAGCCTAAACTGGCCTCAAAGTTGTGAAGATCCTCTGCCTCTGCCTCCCAAGTGTTGGGATTATAGGCATGTGCCACCACACCTGGTAATAAAAAATACTATTTTGAGATAGGGTTTCATTAAGTTCCTAAATTGCTTAGGCTGGGTTTGAATTTGTGATTGTCTGCTTCAGTCTCCCAGAGGGCTGGGATTATAGGAGTGTGCCACCATTTTGGGCTACTTTCCTTTCAATCTGTTCACCTTTTCTTTCTATTTCTTTCCTTATTGTACTGGCTGGGACTTCCAATAAAATATTGAATAGAAGTGGTAAAAGTGAGTATCTTTGTTTTCTCCTCAACTTGAGTGATAACCCCCCATTGCAGGATTAGTTGTAGGTTTTTCAGAGATGTTCTTTTCAGGTTAGGAAGTTTCCTTATATTACTGTTTGGCTGCAAGGTTTGTATTTTGTTGTTGTTACTGTTTTTGTGGTGCTAGGGATTGAACCCCGGGCCTTCTCACTGAACTACATCCCCAGGCCTTTTTAATTTTTAGGCTGGGTTTGAACTTGTAGTCTTTCTGCCTCAGCCTCTCAGGGTACTGAATTATGGTAGTGCCACATGCCTGAGTCAGTTTAGAGGTTTTTTTTTTTAATGAGTAAGTATGGAATTTTGTAAAAAATTTTTACTATGTCTTTGTAATGATCACATTGTTTGTCTCCTTTATTTGTTTAATATGGTAAATTACATGGACTGATTTTTGAATGTTAGACTAACCCTGCCTTCCTGAAGTAAAACCCTCTTGGTCATCATGTATGTTTATAGGTCTATTTAGGGAATCACTTCCGATTGATTCAAAGCCCAGGGCATCTGAGGACCCTTAAGGACATGACCCTGCCATCTAACACATGAGCACAGTGGGACACACTTATGTAAGCACAGACTACTGCACACGCAGTACACGGTTATGTAAAGACATAGTGACGTAAAGCTGTGTAGTGGCCTGTGTAAGGGCCGACAGGAATAAAGATACTCTTGTTGGCTGTTGCTAAGGTTGGCTCCGCATGTGCTTTCTTTTTGTTGGGAGCCTCACCTGTGAAAATACCCCTTTGGCCCCTGACCCTTACAGTGTATATGTTGCTGGATTTGACATGCTGTTTGCAGACCTATTTTTCAAGTGTAAATCGTAATTTACATGGAATATATGGCTTGACTTTAAATATGCAGTCGTATAAGTGGAATAGAGGGGCATTTTTTATCTGGTTGTGGCCAGCTACTGTTCACTTAAGTAAACATGCCTGCATTGTCCCTAAGGAAAATTCAGAGATAAATTTTCATAGTATATAGCATGTGGAACCTGTGGAGATAGTTATTGTTAAATGCAACTACTCTTTAAATTAGAGAGATTATAATTGTAATTGTAATTATAAATCTTTTTTTTTTTTTTTGGTACTGGCAATAGAACTTGGGACCCTTGTGCTTGCGAGGCAGGTGGTGGAACCACTGAGCTGAATCCCTGGCCCTTATAATTGTAATTACAAAGCAAATATTTGTGAATTTTGATGTAGCTATTTTATTTCATAGTAGTCTGTTGGTTTTTATCCTGTTGGTTCTGCCCTAGCTGTGGTTTGTCTTTGATGTACTTCACATTCTCCAGGAACAAGATGAAATATGATTTTATTTACATTGTTAATAAATGTTATGTGATTATACCTCCAAATAGGGAGGGCTAAGTTAGCTCTTTCTTTCATTTTATAGTTCTAAAATTAAAACGGTTTCCCAAAGCTTTTGATTGTTTTGCTATTATTTGTCTTGTGGTGGCTGTGAATGGAACCCTAAGCCCCTGAGATATATCCTCAGTTCTGCCCCCAACCAAAAGACTAAATAAATGAAAAAACAGATGGTAAGAAAGAATGTTAGCCAGACACGGGGGTGGCACAAGCCTGTAATTCCAGCACTCAGGAGGCTGAGGCAGGAGGATCACTCTAAATTCACAAATTAGAAGCCAGCCTAGGCAACATAGTGAGTTCAAAGCTAGCCTGAAGTACATAGTGAGACCTTGTCTCAAAAAAGAATGTTAGACATTTGAGAGAGTTACAAAGTTTGTATTAACTTTTTTTTTTTTGATACTGGGATTGAACTCGGGTCCTTGCGCTTGCAAGGCAGGCCACCGAGCTGCTGAGCTAAATCCATGGCCCTAACTTTTGTCATTAGCAATTCAATTATTTTTCATTAGAAAAAGAAACAATAGATATCTGAGCCTTTAGAACCTGTATCAGTTCAGTTGGGTGTGGTGGTTCATGCTTGTAATCCCAGCACTCTGAATGGCTGAGTAAGAAGGATCACATGCCCAACCTTGGTGATTTGGTGAGACCTATCAAAATAGAAAAAATAGCCAGGCATGGTGTCACACACCTGTAATCCCAGCACTGGGGAGGTTGAGGCAGGAGGATCGCTGTGAGTTCGAGACCAGCCTGGGCTCCATAGTGAGTTCCAGGTCAGTCTCAACTACATAGTAAGACCCTGTCTCAAAAAGAAAAAGAAAAAAAAAAAAAAAAAAAAGGCCGGGGATATAGCTCAGTACAAAGTCCCTGGGTTCATTCCTCAGTACTGCAAAAAGAAAAACAAAACAAGACACAGCAGTATTTGCTTGTAAATTGGTTTCGTTTTTTGCTCTCCTTTTTAGAACTGATAACTAGGTTTGGTTAGTTTATACAGTTTGATAAGACTTTTAGGTTTTATTGCTACAAAATTGAAATAAGTGATTGGCAGGAGCTAGCTCAGCAATAAGTAAACTAAAGTTATCCTGTCAGAAGTGAGTTTTCAAAGTTTAGGTGTTATGGTGAGGTATCATAGAACCTTGGTAAACAGAATTTTGGTCATATGAGACAACTGACAGTGAAAGGACATTTGGCTATTGGTACGTAGCTAGTAACCCACATGGCAGTTGGAAATAATCTCTGTAATTTACATGCAGTTTATGTGCTGATCCATTTTAGTAGAGCGTACAGTGTGCTCTACTACTTTGTAAAGAAAGAATTTATTGCATGGGGAGAAATGTCCAAAGTCTGGAGATAGAAGAAACGCTGAAATATTTTGGGATTACTTCCTGTATACAAGTTAAATAGCAGTTTCATATAAACACTATGGCAAGTTTCACAGATAAGGTTTACAAACACCCCCACCTCCTCCAGGAAAGTGTCCATCACACAGTGCTGCAAAATGCTCCCTGATATTCTCCTACATTCCTGGCATTTTCAACTGCCTAGAGTCCCCTTTGCACTTTCAGCTTTACTTTGATAGCTTCAAGCATGTCCTTCTCAGGGGCTCCTGGTAGGTGCTATGTGACCATGTCACACAATTTTTCCTGGCCTCCCAGGCCTTCTTTTGAAATCTGAGTGAAAGCCTCCATGACCCCAAACTCTTGCATTCTGCATGCCTGAAAAACCATTACCATGTGGATGATACCACAGTCTGCGGCCAGCTCCAGGACTAGCCTGGTCCCTTTAAACCAAGGCTGCAGAGGCCTCTGAATGCCTAGGTTGTTGAACTTGGGGGACATACTTCTCTAGGTGGCCCTGAATGAGTACGACTCACAAGGCTCTCTCCTCAAAGCAGTCTTTCAGAGGAGTTTACTCTTTTTTTTTTTTTTTTTTTTTTTTGGTGGTACTGGGGACCAAACTCAATTCCTTGTGCTTGCGAGGCAGGCTCCGGAACCACTGAGCTAAATCCCCAGCCCAGGAGTTTACTCTTGTACATTTTTGAGCCTGCAGTAGGTATGCTGTCACCATTTCCAGAGATGTCCTGAAAGCATCTTTCCTATTGTCTGGCTGTAAAGTACTTGACCCCTTTTAAATGCCTACCTTTTCAGCAGGCTCTCCATGGCCCTAACTTTACAGGGGATTCCTTTCTGGACAAGTTGCAGGTCTTTTTTGTTTTTTTGTTTTTCTAATTCAGCTCTGCTTTGTGGTCCTGATTCTCATTGTAAATCTGGCAGAAAGCAGCCAGCAGAACTCATGCTGCCACCTGAACAAGAGGCTGCCTTGACATTTTCTTCACTAGATCCACCAGTCTACTATCTTTAAATTCAGCCTCACACAGTCTTAGGACATGAACTCGTCAGTGTTTTAATCCACTGTTCAGTTTAGTCCTTCTCCCATGTTCCAGTCGCCTTCCAATAGCCCTACCTCTGAATACATGAGACTTTGGGGACATTTTGGATTTGAACCATAAAATTAGCTAACCTGGCACTGCTATCAGCAGTATACCTATGAAGGGGCCTGTTATTTTTATTTTTTTTATTGTGAACATTTAAAAACAATCAGTAATGCAGTGAGCCTGCCTCCAGTATATTCATCTTTCAGGTTTGATCATTGTTAAGACTTTGCAATACTTGCTTCATTTATCTCACTTTATTGATTGATTGCAGTGTTGGATGTGGAACCCGGGGATGGACTGTGAGCTACAGCTCCAACATCTTAATTTTTTTAATCCTAAATTAAGGTTTCACTAAATTGCCTAAACTGGCCTGAAGCATGTAAGCCTCCTGATGACTAGGAAGTGTTTGGCTTCATTGTATTTTTTCTTGCTATCGTGTTTAAAAGTAAATTACAGATAGCTTTCATTTTGCTTCAGTAAACATCTCCAAAAATATGTTCATTTTCTTGCATAATCAAAATGTCGTCATGACTCTGACCATGTTCACAGTAGTTCCTTTGTATAATCCTATAGAGAATGTCCTTTTAAAGCCCTCTTTTAGGCTTGCTTGCTATTTTGGTTCTCAAGGTCTTTGTAGACCAGATCCCAGTAAGTCATTATCATGATAGATTTTTTTTTCCTAGATACTTTATTAAAATAATCTAATTTTGTTCAAGGAGTTAATTCTGATAATTTATTCCCAGACCGGTGTTTGACTGAAGCCAGTTTCATTGCACTGGCAGTAAAATTGTGGAAAACCTCCAAGTTTGTATGTAGATTTGAAATAGAGTCATAAGGACCCAGTTCTGTGACACTAGGTAGCATGTTAGATTTGGAACCCAGCCTGGTACAGTCAAACAAACAAACCAAACAGTAGAAGGAGATAGGATGGCACAAAAAGAACTGACTGTAGTTATGGAATGCTCTGACTTTTCTTACTCTTCCCTTCTTCAACTATGTAACCACTGACATTCTTGAAAGTATCAACAGAGCAACCTTCCCCTCTCATGCATATGCATAGATGTGTATCTGAAAGTATTCTGGGAACTGAGAGAAGAGACATTGGACGTTGGGAGCTAGGTAGATGTTTTTTTCTATCAGGATCAAATGGATCTTTTTGCCTTCTGAGAGTTTGGGCACAAATTTTTTGTTTGTTTGTTTGGTTGGTTGGTTGGTTTTTTTGAGACAGGGTCTCACTATGTAGTTGAGACTGACCTAGAACTCACTATGTAGCCCAGGCTGGTCTCGAACTCACAGTGATCGTCCTACCTCAGCCTCCTGAGTGCTGGGATTACAGGTGTGCACCACCACACCCGGCTTGGGCGCAAATTCTTATTCATTGTTTGGTTCTATAGATTTGTTACCTGAATTCTAACAAAGTGTTCATTTTAACAAAGCACTGTTACTGTAATAGATATTCATTGACAAAAATGAAACAATGTTCCTCTCTAGGTTTCCTGTCTTGGTTAGTGGCAACATTTTCCCTCCAGATAAGAAAATCTACTTTCCCCATGATTCCTATTGCCAGTTGATCTTGTTTGCAGTAGATCCTTTCACTTTATTCTGGTTTTCCAGACTGAGTACCAGATCTTTATTGCACATTTGAGTTAATAAAATAAGTTTGAGTTGGCCTCATCACAGTTGCTTGCACATGTGTTGGTCCATCAGCTCCTCATGACTGCTACAATAGCGGTTTTAGCACATCACTCCCTTGCATACAAGCCTCTCTTAGCTCCCAGTTGTCTTCATAGAAAGCACCAACCTGAAGTGCCCTGTGAATCAGTCCCACTAGGCTGTATGCCCTTGTTTCAGCACACGTATTCTTCCCTGTATTTGGAATGCTGAGATTATTTATTTATTTTTGCAGTACTGGGGATTGAATTCAGGACCTTGGGCTTGTAAGGCAGGTGCAGTGCCACTGAGCTAAGTCCTGGCCCCTTTTATTTTTTTATTAATAAATTTTATTTTATTTTATCTTATTCCCTCCTCAAGCCCCCTCCCCTTCCTATGTACGAAACCTTTGTTTCCATTTTTTGTGCTTTCTTTTATTATGCTGAATAAATGAAGGTTCTTTAGGGAAGTTTTCCTTATTTCTTTTAACTTTATAAAGTCAGGATGAGACCGTAGATCAAAAATCTTCGTAGGTGGAGGTTGTGAGGGTAGCTCAGTGGTAGAAGGTCCTGAGTTCAGTCCTTAGCACCCCCCAGAAAAAGCCTTAGATGCAGTTTCTAAACTAAGGCTCAGTATTTCAGTGACTTGGTGTGCCAGGTTTTGGTAGTGGTGCCAATCACCTTTTTTGACACCCCTCCCCAATCTCTGCATTCTGTCTTTACCTTTGTTGATTGTTACTGTTTGCTTTTGGGAAGGAAGAAGAGGAAGATGAAAATGAAGTAGGTTTCAGTCAGAGGGAGATAAATGCCTTGATATCAAAGAAGTTATCAAACACCAGCTATTTTGTGGTTTGGCGAGGAGAATATAACTGTATAGGGGAGAAAAGGAGAAGATTTGGTTTTGAAATAAGATTCTTTGATGCGTTAATATATAATTTTTCCAAAATATAGGACTAACAGAGATTGGGAATCTTTTCACTTCTAGTATAGTAATTTTTAAATTTTAAGGCATTGTAGATTTACCTGCTTTTTGTCTTTTTTTTTTTTTTTGGTACTGGGGATTGAACTCAGGACCTTACACTTGCCAGGCAGGCATGGTGTTAAACTTGAGCTAAATCTCTGGCCCATGATTTTGTCATTTTATCAAACAAGTTGTTTTCCAGTTGTGGGGGTGCACACCTGTAATCCTACCACTCAGGAAGCTGGGTGGGAGATGACTGCAAGTTCAAGGCCAGCCTGGACTATGGAGAGAGTGAGACCCTGTCTCAAAAAAAAGTTACATTTCCATAGAAAGTTATTCAGGTGTTTTATCATATATTTTTTCTTGTTTGTTTTAGACAAAAGAAGTTAGAAAAAGTGATGGAAGAAGAAGGCCTAAAAGATGAAGAGGTAATCCAGTTAACTTTGGTACCCAGGGGAGGGGTTTTGGCTCAGACTTAGAGGAGTTTTAGGGGTAACATGCTTCTAAATTTGGGAGAATTATTAAGAGAGGAAGACTTCGCTAGGATAGTTATAATAATCAGTTAGGTTTAGAATTCTAACAAAAAGAAAGGATAAAATAAAATTAAAAAACAAGGTATAGTGTTCTTACAGAATTCATTGAGAAAACTCCATAGTGAGGCAGATTTCTGAAGTCATTGTCTAGGCAAAGACGTGTGTGAAGTTAACCCTCTTGCCCCCTGCCCACAGGTGCAGGAGAGAATAAGGCTGTGTGAACATCTAGGGGCAGTGTGGGAAAGCTGTAGAAGTAGGAGGAATCACACAGAACCCTGGTGGTGGAGACAGACAAAGTAGTTGTAGGAATGATTAAAAGTTAAAGCATGATGAGTTGTATTGTGTGGGAAAGGAAAGTGTTGGTCTGTTCCCGTTCTTAGAAATGTTTGAATAATGGGTTGCGAGTGGATTGGTCGGAGTTCTCGGAGGAGGCAGCCTTTGCTCAGTATGGCCTGCTTGTTGTGTCTGAAGGCCAGGGAAGGAGGAAGCTACCTCTTAATGGCCCTGCTTTCCCGCTGGGCAAGACGTAAATGACTTCATTGCAGAATTTCAGAATTGCAGCTCCGTCCCTTTCTCTTCCTCCTCTATTTAAACGTTAGAAACGACTCAGGAGATCGGCACATGCTCGGAAGGAAACAGAATTTCTTCGTTTGAAGAGAACAAGACTTGGATTGGAAGATTTTGAGTCCTTAAAAGTCATAGGCAGAGGAGCATTTGGTGAGGTAAAAACTACAGCTATTTGTAAAGTACAAAAATTGGCCAGAACTTCAAAGCTTCTAACGTACCCTAAATTAGGGTTATTGGTATAACCAAAATATATGGGATTAAGGTGGGCTAGGTGTGCAAGACCCACATGTTAACTGCCCTGTCTGGCCTTCTTCTCCCTTCTCTTCACTGTCCAAGATCTCTGTTCTTCTCGGTTTTGCCAGAGATTATGTTAGTGTTCTAAGTATTGATTTAGAGGAGACTTGAAAGTTTGAAGGAAATTATTGCGTAGTTCTTTTCTCCTGTAAACATGACCAGAACTCGTTTTATAAGGATCAACTCAAATCTTGGGTGGTGTATATACTGTCCCACTCTATGCATCTGTTGAGTATGGGGCCAGCAGTTGAGCCCACATCCTCCTGAACTCTTGCTTTTCTCAGTATCACACTGCTTTTCCAGAAGCAAACTAACTGTATCACCACCCATTATGTCTTCCAACAGATTAATACAGCTCTAAAAAGATGGTCATAGGCTGCAGAATTTATAGAGGAATATAGAATTGAAAGCATTTGCACTTTTGCTCTAGCCACCCCTCCCCCGGCCTCAGGCATGTGAGGCAGGTATCTTTCTATTACTGAGCTACATTCCCAGTCCCCAGTCCTTTTTCAAATTTTATTTTGATACAGAGAGTCTGGCTAAATTGCCCAGGGTGGCCTTGAACTTGCCTCACCCTTCCAAGTAGCTGGGATTATAGTTATGCACCACCATACCAAGTTGGTCAGTTACTTGATCACAAGCGCAGTCTGTTGAGGCTATCTGAACACGCCCATGCAGGGTCTTTCTCACTAATGGGAAACATCTAGCATGGACAATCTACTGATAATGATAGTTACATTATTTTATAGAGGGGAGGAGCATATTATTAAAAACCAGTACTGGCCGGGGATTTAGCTCAGCGGTTCAGTGGCCTGCCTTGCAAGCGTAAGGACGGGAGTTCAATCCCCGGTACCCCAAAAAAAAAACCCAGTACCCAGGGGAATTGTAATATTTCAAAGATAAAGATAAAATTAATTCCTCAGTGGTCAAAATTCCTGATGCCCCCTTGAGAAAGGGAAAGTACTCTTAAAAGTATTTCTGTACTTTAATCCTATAATCCTAGCACTCTGAGGGCTGAGGCAGGATTTAAGTTCGAGCCCAGCTTGAGAAATTTAGAGACTTCGCAAGATCTTGTCTCAAACACACACACACACTAATAAATACAAATGTAAGAAAAGAAAAAGGGCTACAAATGTGTCTCAATGTGAAGGCCCTGAATTTATTCCCCAGTATCCCAAAAAGGATAAAAGATTTTCTGTTCAGGAGGAAGGGACATGAGACTTGATCAGGAAAACATGAAAAAAGATACAGGGAAAATAAAATTTCCTTATCTTGGGACAGAAGGGGAGGATGTACAAGAACTTGCCAAGAAGCTTTTCTTTTGGTTTGTAGACCATTTTTATTTGTTTCATCACAGAATTACTGTTCTCTTTTAAAACTTTGGAAAATATAAAAGAAAAACTGTATGAAACCTTGTTTCCCTAAATAAACACTTTAGAGTTATTTTTTAACTTCCAACTTTTTTTTATGTATGAGCTTTTACTGTTTTTTTATAATCATTTATTTATCTGAGCTAACTGAATGATACATGTGAGGAATTTAACTAGTTTTAAGAGTTTCAAAATACACTTTTAAATTGGATTGGTTTGTTCAACTAGAGGGGCCAACAGTGTTGCAGTATGGAGATACTTTGAGGATGTGTCTGGCATTTTGAAAATTTGAAAAATATGCTCTGTTTTTTTCTCCTAGTTGCTTATATTCAAATTATAATACTTTCTCAATTTAAATTATTGCTTTCAGGCCCTGGGTTTTATTGTCAAACTACAAAAAAATTTTTTTCTTACTATAACACATTAAAGCATTAACCTAGCAGTGTGTTTTTTTTTTTTTTTTTTTTTT